ACAGAAAAATACTGTGAAACTTAAGGGTGAACTTTTTTTAAAGTAGTAGTTATATTGATAATATTAATATTTAATTTCTTTCAGAGAAGGGAGAGTATTAAATTTGGGATTCGAAACTTTATATTATCATAAATGTCATCAATTTACTTTTGAAAAAAAAAAAAAAAGCAGAGAGACAGAGAGAGAAGGGGGAAAAAATTGGAGGTTGTTTGTAACAAAGGGAGAAGGGTAATATGGTCATTTCAAGGAGGTGGTGCATGTCTGTGTGCTGTGTGTGTGGTGAAGGGGTTTGTCAGGGAAAGGAAGTGTTGACTTGTTACATTGGATCTGCTCTTCTGTCATTCAATGTCCTGTGCCTCTCTGTCACTCTAATATTTCTTCCTTTCTTTTTTTTTTTTTTTTTTTGGGGATAAAATTATCTTATTTTATTTTAAATTTTTTTTGACTTTAATTTTTTTTTTTTTGAATATTTTGACACGGACGAGTTAGAAACCTGCCCAGGGGAGGAGGAATGCACCTAACATGCTGGCTAATGTGAGTGGGCCTCTAGGCTCAGGTGCTTTTTGGCTTTAATTTATTTGTTTTTGTGATGGATATTTCCATATTTCAGAAAGGTAACTCATTTATCCTTTTTTATTTTAAAAAAGGTTGAATGTCAATTTTATTCCTCAATTTTAAAATTTATATAATTTTTATTTTTTTATATTTTTTAATCTCTTAATTATGAAAAAGTATATTTTTTAAAGCTTTTTTATAAGTTAGTTTATTAAATTTATTTAAATATATTGATTTTTAATTTTTTAACTTATAATATGTGTATATTTTTTATCTCTCAACTTAAAAATTTAAAAATAAAAAATATATATATATAAATAGACTCAACAAACTAACTAATAAGATAAGTAAAAATATATATTTTTTATAGTTAAAAAACTAAAAATGCATATAAAAGGTTGAGGATAAAAAGCTTATAAAATCTTAAAATTGAGGGACTAAAATTGATATTTAACCTAAAAATTTTGAAAAATAGGT